TTCATTTCATTTCATGTCATTTCATTTCAAAAATTTCCCAGAGTCAAACCGATAAAAAGGCAGGCCATATGCCATCAAGTGCAGGGACATGCACCAAAGCTTGCCCAAACTGATCCCCGCTGAAGGCCAAAACAGAAAAGAAGGACTTACAAACACTCTGGAATGGAGATACCATCAAAGTTACTGCAATTGCAGGAGAAAAAAGAAAATTTGTTACTACAACTTTTAAATAACTTGTTTAATCTAGAGCCTCGCTGGAAAAACAAACAAATCACACTTTGCAAGTTGTTTTCCAGAAGGATACACAAATGAAGGGTTTGGGCCAGGAAATTGTTGTGTTGGGTAAAAAGTGTGCCAATGGTTTGGCTTTTTAAGCCCTGGCAGTGTTTGTGCCAGAGGAAATAGAAAAGGATGAGTTCTTGTCTAGAAAAGCAAACAGAAGTGAAGGTGTATGAGTTGGCAGATGCTTTCATTTGCTTGGGATGGTGCTTCTCTCAGAAGAGATAATCTAATTTCCCAGTTGACAGTTGACAGCTAAATTTTCACAAGGGGTGCTCTTAACTCCTCATGTCCAGACAAAGCAAAACACTTTGAAGTCAGTGGATGTCAGTGTCATCTTTGCTTCACTGAATAGGTGATGCTGGCTGAGCAGAGGTCTGGATGCCAACTATTGCATCCCTTAGCTGATTAAACTACTTATTTTCTTTCCAGTATATTGCATAAAAATATCTTTTATGATTCATAATTGCACAGTTGGAAAAGACTAATCTGTTTGCCCACAGAGTGATCGCTTTGTCTTAGGGGAATAAAAAAGTTCATAACTTATTTACATAATAATAGGTTTTTAAATGGTATTTGACTATCTAAAAATTGGTATTTACTTAAACTTTATTCCTGACAAGTAACAGAATTCTGAGGGCTGATATTATCATGGTTTTTTGGTTGCCTTTATTAGTTTTATATGCTCTGTTTTCCCAACAGAGCAGCTGGAATATTGTATAAGCAATTGACATCAGCACTGGGTGCAATCCAGATATAACCTGCCATCGAGCTTTGGCAGACAAAAAAAAAAAATATCCAAAGGAGCCATAAAAAAGAGAGGCTTTGAAGGCTGTGTCTGTGTGTTTGGGAGTGGATGGGCACCTGGAGGGGCTGGAAGCTGTCAAGCTGAATTAGCACACTATGTCCTGCCTGAGAAATTCTAGTGCTGGCTCAGTGCCACACTAACATGACCACAGAATTTCCACACTGGTACTTTAATTGCTTGTATCTTGCCAGAAATCCAGGGGGAATCACCAGCTGGTAGCTTTAGGAAAAGACATCAGCAGAGACAACCACTGGGCCAGCAGAGGCTTTTTCCCAGCAGAACAGGGCAGTACCTGAGTACTAAAGATGATTTATGAGGAAAACACCCTGTAACATGTGGAACACAGGCAGGGAGAGGCAGTAAAACTGTGTGAAGATGCCTACATAAAGATAGATGCTGGTCAGCCTGGAGGAGAAAATTAGAAATATCAGCATTTATTTGAAACCTGTGAGTTGTCTGTTGGACTCTGCCTGCTCTGACTCTGCCCAAGACTTTCCAGAGGGCTGGAGAATGGGATGGTTAAACCATCTCATGCTGTCTAAGGAAGGATCTGTTTAAAAAGTGGCTGTAGCAGCAGTGGGGTTTATTTGGGATCTGCTGAAGGGGCAGGGCTGCTGCATGTGGCCTGGGATCACTGGCTGCTGGAGCAGGGATGGAGGTTCCCCGAGCAGCTCTCACACCTTCAGCCACCTGCTCACAGAAAAATGAACAAAAGTGTTCTGAGAATGCAGAATTTAAAAAAAACCACAACCAAGCTATATTATTATAGATGGAATCTGTGACAAACACCATGTAGACCATGGTCCATGAAAAAACGCAAATCTATTTTGTGGAACTTATCTTGAGGAATTTAACTCTGCTTCCTGCAGGAAATTGGATCATTTTTCTTGTTACTTTGCCCTTATTTCTACTCTTAGATTTCCTGGAGAACTGGGTGGAAGTGCAAGATATGGCTACAGAAACAATTGCTGAGGAGTGAACAGAGTGAATTAAGCAGGTAGGCTTCTGCAGATTTCCTTTCTCCTTGCTTGCAGACTTGGTAGTTAGATAAGAAGGGAGCACTGAGGCATATTATAGCAGAAATCAAATACCAGAACCATGGTAAAATAGAAAGCAAACCAGAACAGAGCTTGCACTAAAGCAATTGTCTTGCAAGTCATGAATAAGAAGAGGATGTTGGAAGGTATTTGAGCTGACAGGAATGAGGAGGCAGCAAATTAGTCCCATCTACCTCAATCATTTCATTATTGTCTATTGAATTATTTCTGAATTATCAGATTAGGACTTCGGGGGTATAGACAAAAGGATTGGGCTGCTTGAGCTTTATGTCATTACAAGGTCTGCCTGAATAAAGAAGCTTAGGCTTGGGGTTTTATTTAATGAAAAAGAAAAACCAAACCAACAACTAAAAACACTTCCACAGAAAAATAGAGAAAATTGTAATATTGTAATAGTGGTACTGCTTTATTCCTATACTGACCATAAGATTTTTTTTTTTTTTATCTCATGAATGCCAACTGCTTTCTTGGTATCACTAATAATGTTGACTGTTGTCTAAGTCATGACAAAAGACATCAGCCACAATTTCCTAAATGGAACCACAGGGACCTCTGTATGTCCCCACTGCACTGTAGAGAAAAGGGAGACCCCTTAGGTAAAAGGAAAAACCTGACAATTTTCCCAGATGTCTGAAGAATGGAATGCAGGCTGTGCTACAAATTGAACAGTGAGGTCAGAGAAATGGGAGGCAGGATGTAAATACAACAGAACACTTTCCCTTGGATAATCTGCAGGAGGGAAATAAAAGGTCATATTTAGCCGAGAGACAAAAAAAGTATTACCTGTATTTCAAGAATGGCTTTCACACAAACTTAGGTTTTTGAATTGTCCTGCCTTCAGGATAGGCAATGTTAATTGTACTTGGAGTAGGCATTTGTAAACTGAGTGGCTAGAAAGGTCATTTGCTTGTTCTTCTGACTTAGTTATGAGCACAGAAAGAGGCTATCTTTACTTGGCATACACACAGAGTAAGCAGATTTCATTTTGCCTGTAAAGAGCTTACAAAGGGTTGTGTGGAGAGAAGTTCCCATTTTGCAAAGATTTTGACATTTCAGAATCTTGCTTAATTCTCAATTGGATAACAAAACCCAGTATATGGAACTTGGTGACAGTAAATTCCAATTTGTCCACTGTTTATTCCCATTATCTCAGAAAATATTGAAAGTGTGCCTGATGATATTGCAGAATATTAAAAATACCTGAAATGTATATTCTCAAAAAAGAACTCCCCTTAGGATATTATTTCAATTCCCTAATCCCACATTTTTCCTCCAAAAAGGCTGTTGAAAACAATCTGGTTTATATTTAAATGTCAGGAAGAATAGATCTCATTTCATTAAGTTTTTCCTGACAGCTCCTGTTGACACTTTGCTAATATCTGTTACCAGCCATAAACACTTTTATAAGGAGAAAGTGTGACAGTGTTCACAGGGGTCCGAGGATGAGGGAAGAGACAAGGACCTGACTCCATGTTTCAGAAGGCTGATTTATTATTTTATTATATACATTATATTAAAACTATACTAAAAAAATAGAAGAAAGGATATCATCAGACAGCTAGCTAAGAATAGAATAGGAAAGAATGATAACAAAGGCTCTGTTTTGGACTCTCTGTCTGAGCCAGCTGGGCTATGATTTGCCATTAATTAGAAATATCTAATATGGGCCAATCAAAGATTCACCTGTTGCATTCCACAGCAGCAGATAATCAATGTTTACATTTTGTTCCTGAGGCCTCAGCTTCTCAGGAGGAAATACCCTAAAGAAGGGATTTTTCATAAAGGATGTCTGCAACAAGAAAGGTGGAAATTACTGTCTTCTAAGAGGGGAAAAAATATTTCCTTGCAGATTTTTGTTCTTTAAAGTCTTGTCAAAAGACATAATCCTGCTCAGGTCTGCTCTACCAAAAGCAATGAAGGATCACCTGCATCTCTAACTGAGCCCAGAACAAAACTCGAACTGAGTTCAGTGCCAAGGACTGGGCCCTCCCAGAGTCACCAACTCTGTCAGGAATGGCTGAGTGATGTGAGAAGTGAAGAAATCAACCTGTGAATCAGGCAAATTATCTCCACTCATCCTGTTAATTTTGGTGGCAGAGGATGAAAAGGCAGCTCCCAGAGCCCCACTGCTGGCAGGGTGGAGAAGAGCTGGCTCAGGAGGCACTGCCCCTGGAAGGAGGATGCATGGTCGGACAGGGACAGAGATCAGTGAGCTCCTGAAGGCAGGAATTCCTAAATGCACTGAGTGGGAATTTCTGAGGGCAGGAATTCCCAAGTGCACTGAGTGGGAATGAAGCAGCATCCTGCCTTTAGCATCCTGCCTTTAGCACATGTGTGTGTGCACCCTGCTGTATTTTTATCACCCCTTTGAAGCAGGACACTGATTGAAACACAGAGGTCAACAAATAGTCCTGTGGTTGTGAATGTTCATTGTGTGTTTTCAGAGCTTGGTCAGTGCTGGAGGGAAGTGTTCAGGTTGTTTCACAGGCCTGGCACAGCAGCATTTTCCCTGCAAAATCCCTGAACTGCAAAAGTGTCCCCCTCCTAAGAGAGAGTAAAGTCCAAGGAGAAACAAGAACATAACTGGCCTTAAAAGTGTTTTTTGGCCATTTCTCTCTGCAGAAGAACTGAAAAATCAAAAGAGGAGCTTAAAATCAAAGTGAGGACCTGCAAGGCAGGATAAAAGGACATCCAGGGCTGTCCTCACCCACAGGAAACACCTTCTGACATCTTCATTCCAGCAGCCTTTTCCTTCCCTCTGTTGTTGTCTTTCTCTGTTTTTAAGCACCTCTGGCAGCAATGCCTTTGGGTTCTAGTGCAGCTCTGGCTCCCTGTGGGGCTCCTGTCAAACTCAAGCCAGGAGCTTCCTCAGGGTCACTCAGAGCTGTGGCAGCTTCTGCTGTCCCTGCCAGGGTGCCTGGCAGTGCTGGCAGCTCAGCCAGCAGCAAGGGCAGAGCAGGTGATCAGCACAAATTACCCTCTCGGGACTTGGGACAAATGAAATTTGTATACAAGACCAGCAGGACCTTAGGAATACTGGTCCTTTGAGAGAAAAGGGAAAAGAACAGGAAGGATGATAGCAGACCTCCTTCCAACAGTGACATACCTGGAGCTCAACTTTAATCTGACATTGAAATTCATCCAAATTCAACTAGAAGACAAGAAACTACAAAATAAATCCTTCTTGACATTAATTATATATAAGCTGTAGCTGTCCTCACAAGACAGTTTCTAGGTATAGAAAACTTTAAATTATGCCTCCCTCATTTAAGTAAAATGATCCTGTTGTAAAAGTATTTATTCTATCTGTCACTTCTGGGTGCTGAGCAGCTTAACTTCTATAAAGAAAGAGTTCTTAGCTGCTTCTCAAGAAAACTGAGCTGCTTCAGAACCCTTTTCCTTCTTCAGAGCTCTGAAACAATAAGCAAGAGCAGTTAATGATCATTATTAGTGGTCATCCAGGGGAGTGGCTCTGATGTCTTGTCACTGGTGTCTTGTCACTGCTTCCTGTTTGTGTCACAGCTGTTCCCTGAGCCACGTCACCTTCCAGGGCAAAAGACACGTCTGGTTATTTTTGTCCTCGAGTTTAGCAGGCAGCACCTCCCTATGCATTCCAAACATTAATTCCCTTGTCACTCTGAGCCTCAGTGTCTGCTTAGAATTAATTTGCCATGACACACCAAGCCAGCACTTTTATAATTAGAGACATTACCTTAGCATAGCCAGAAGAATTTAAGCCAATCTTAGGTGCAAGGGAGAAACAGAGGCATCACCAAGGTGTGCACTCGTGTCAGCTCTGCAGGAGGTGAGCAGAGCATATTCTGCAATTGCTTATTAACAGTACATTATGCAAATTAGGCTTCCCTAGTCAAATGCTGGGAGTGTGCAGGAAAGAGAAATAAGCATACAGTTTGGAGTCAATAAATGTATAATGCTCTGCCAGCTAACAAAATTTCATTTCAGCATTCTTAACTGCTTCAAAGGCAAAGTGCTCTCAAATGAGTAACTGATGTTAGCTCAGAAGCTGGAAGGGTTCCTGTGAACACAGAGGTATTTAGCAATAGTTTCTTCCTTTTTCGTCTTTACCCAAATGAAGTAAAAAGAGACTTGCCACAGAAGTGATACCTTATTACTATTAATATATTATTTAAATATTGGCTATTTAGATTCCTGCCTATGGAAGGAAGAAACTCACCTGATTATGGTGTATCTTTGTATAATGATGACCCTGTTTTTCTTCTGGTTTGGGTGGTGGAGCTTTGATTTAGGGCATAAGGTGACCTCCACCCATTTTCCAGCCACTTGCCAACCCTGTCTACCTCAGAATCATCACCTGCTCTGCCCAGGGCCTCTCTAGCTCACTGCTTTTCACCGAGCATATCCTTGCCTGGCTCCTCTTGTGAATCATTAAATTACTGTGCAAAGTGATGGTGAGGTGATTTGCCTGACTCCTGTGTGATAGAAAACAAAAAGTAGACTGGTATTTCTGAACATCAATAAACCCGCCCAAAAATGAAAGAATCTACATGGAGGAATGGGTTTAAAATCTAAAATGTTTTTTCAGGCCAGACCAGCTGAACTACTGGGAGGTCTCAGAAGGCTGAGGAGGTCTCAGGTCACATCCCAGATGTCACCAGTTTAAACACACAGAAGGCACTGGCTGGAAAAAGCTGAGGGGAAGGGGCAGAGGGTTGGAGTGACCTCAGGAGATCACCCAGTCCATTCCTGCTGAGGCAGGGTCACCCAGAGCAGTGACACAAAGCACATCCAGGGGGGTCTGGAATGTCTCCAGAGAGGGAACTCTATCCTCCCTGGGCAGCTGTTCCAGAGCTATGTCACCCTCCATGTAAATAAATTCTTCCCCATGTTGAGGTAGAATTTCTTGTGTTTTATTTCATGGCAGCTGCTCCTCATCCTGATGCTGGGAACTGAACAAAGTCTGACACTGTTTTAAAAGGAGTCTGGGCAGCAGTGGGGGGAAATGTTGAGATCTTTAATTTGTGAAACAATTGAAGTTGATGGGCAAACTCTGGGTGATGTCCATGTGTTAGAAAATCCAATTCAGAGTTTAGGGCTTGACATAGTTTTTGCTCGCAGACCTGGAGGAGGAAGTTAGCAGAGCCTGACAGGGAAATTTATTGTTGACAACTGAACAGAGTTTATAAACCACATTACATAAAGCAGAAATGCCCTATCTGGGAAAAGGATAATAAAAAAACTGAAAAACACAGACTAATTAGCATGAGAAGCGAGAAATCAATAACAAATAGAAGACAGAATGCTAATTAATGAAGAAAACTCTGTGAATTGTAAGCTAATTAAATTAATCTCTTTGCTGAAATGTATAAATAGATAAGCTTTTTTGATGGCTGACATGCATGTTGCGGGGAGCCATCCTTATGTTCCTTCAACGCCGAATCACAAATGTGAAAAATGCCAATCACTTGTTTTTTAAATTTTAAAGGTTTAATAGTAACAAAATGGTTATAAAAATAGTAATACAATTAGAGTAATAACAATTTGGACAAATTGAATTAGGACAATATGAGACAATAAAGACAAAGAGTTATGGACATCCGGGTACCTTTTTCTGGGCAGCATGAGCCCGAAAAAGGACACACATTAACAAAGGATTAACCCTTAAAAGCCTGTTGCATATTCATACTCTTCATACATGATGCATAAATTCCATTCAAACACAGGATTCTGCCTGGTCATCAACTTCTTCCTCTGAGTCCTGACAGTGCCTTCGAGGCGGGAAGCAGTTTGTTTCTTCTGATAATGGAGCAATAAATTCTTTTTCTGTGAAAGATTCAGGTGTCCTGTGGCTGCTATCTCGCTGCGAGTCCTTTCTTTAAAGAAAAGTATCCTACATAGCATAGTTCCTATTTTAACATTTTGTTATAGCCTAAAACTATATTTAACACACTACTTAAGAGAACTAATACAGCATTACTTTCTAACACAACACATACAATATCCATTTTAATATTTGCGAAAAGCCAGTCATAAAATACATGCATTTTCCACAGCGAATGCCGCCTTTCCAGGAAGCAGATCGGAGGGTTTATTTGTATTTCCCGGCGCTCGGGTCGGGGTGCCCGGGCAGGCCCCGCTGAGGGGCCGCGCTCGCTCCGTTGTCACAGCGACGGCGACGCCGCGGCCATGTCGGACCTGGGCTCCGAGGACGCCGAGTCCGGGGAGGCCGAGAAAGACATCGGGGTCCGCGGGGCCCGGGGGGAGCGGGGAAGGGAAGGGGAAAGGGAAAGGAAAGGGAAATGAAAGGGAAGGGAAAGGAACAGCCCCGCTCAGTGCCCGCCGGGCCGGGCAGCGTTGCCGAGGGCAGCCCCGCGCATGGCTGTGCCACCTCCCGGCTTCTAACGCGGGTCTGGAACAGCGCGCCCGCGCTCTGCAGCTCTGTGCCGAGAAGCCTGGGGGTGCCGGGGTCTGGAGCCGGGCTGGAGCAGCTTTCCTCAGACACCTGTGTCCCTCTGATGGGTTGGATTGTGGCGGCCCCAGCCCTTTAACCCTTTCCCTCCCGTTTGGCAGGAGTACGAGGGCGATCGCGATGGCGAAGGGCGGCGGCACGGGCTCGGCAAGGCGCGGCTGCCCAATGGTGACACCTACGAGGGGCAGTACGAGCACGGTCTGAGGAGTGGGCATGTAAGGCACCGAGCCTGGCTGTGGCTCTGCTCCTGCAGCTGGGTTCTGTATTGAAACAAGGGGGAGAAATGATGGCTGTTTCATCTGTGCCAAATGTGTTTCAGGGGACATACAGGTTTAAAAACGGTGCTCTCTACACTGGGGACTACCTTGAGAACAAAAAGCATGGTAAAGGTGTCTTTTTTTATCCAGATGGATCGAAATATGCAGGTAAAGCAATGAACACAATTGGAAGGAATTCTGTAGCCAAAAGGACACATTCCCCCCTCACTCCTCCTCCCCCCACAAATAGAAAGAGTGAATTTGAGAATATCTTATTTTAAGTAGATACAAGATATTTTCCAAGATATATTGCTACAAAATATTTTCTTATTATTACCTTTTTAGTAACAGTTCTGAGAAGCTTGGGGTTTATTTATGGGGATTTATGTTAGGACATTTATTAGGTCTATCATTAAAAGAATAGGTTTAATAGAGATGAATAGGTTTAATAGGTTCTTAATAGAGCCCTTATTTAGGGATTGGGACGCCTCAAGTTTGACTAAGTAATGCAAGTTAGAGTTCCCCTGCTTGCTGGAGGGTACCTGAAACAATCAGAATTTATCAGTTAAGTTTCAAAGGACAATATTTCCCTCCTAATTTCTAAGCTAGGGAAGAAAAGACATTCACATTGTGAGGACTCAAAGCTGAGAGCAAAAAGAGCAGCCCAGTCTTGCCTTGCAGGAACATATACTCTGAGTTGTTTGGTTTTTTTCATTTTTTAAAAAATTTATTTTAAGTTTGATTAGAAGAATAATTAAGATAGAAACCATTCTTCTGAATAGATGTGCCCCAATACTGACAGGACAACTTCAATAAATGAGACAAATTAAAGTCTCTCCTCTTTAAATTCATGTGGAAATGTCACATTATCTAATGCAACTGTAATACATTTCCCAATTCAAAAATAGGATTGGGTTGTTATGTGTTCATAATGGTAATAGAGAGTGATAATGAAGGCAGGTAATTATGGGAAAATGGAAAGAGAGGTCAGGCAGCAGCATAAATACATGTGGAGAGGAACAGACTGATGAAAAAATAGCAGGGGACTCTAGAGTAAGGAATGGTGCAAGGAATAGTGAGGGATCCCAGCAGTGCCATAGCTTTCTTTTCCTTCTCTAATACTTATATAATAATGTTACAAACTGGCCATAGTGAAATAAACCAGCTCTCACACTGCTTTTATCCTTTTGTCCTTGAAGGAGACTGGGTGCATGACCAGAGACAGGGCTATGGAGAATATCTGTATGCAAATGGAGACACCTATACTGGAGAATGGGCGAACAACAAGAGGTTTGTTTCCTTCTCACAAGGATGTTTCAGGTCACCCAATGGCATTAAAATACCAGCATCATTTTCAGAGCATGTTTGACTGCAGCAGATGAGGTCCAGGGGTGACCTTGGCAATTTAGTCCAGCTCAAGTAGTTTCAGCTGCTTAATGAATACAGTTTTAATGCCTTAATTATAACAACAGCCTAAATTCTTAATATTCACTGGTATAAAACAAAATTATTATTTTCTCCCTAGGCATGGGCAAGGCACATATGTCTATAAAGAGACAGGATCTAAGTATGTTGGTTGTTGGGTAAATGGAATCCAGAATGGACCAGCTGAACTTATCCACCTAAACCACAGATTTAAGGGCAGGTTTCTCAATGGAAAGGTAAGTATGCTTTCTATTCTGAACAGTTAGCATGGAATTGCCTTAAAATGACCTATTTCCACTTAAAATAAGAAGTTAGGCTTCTGATCTTTTGTAGTATTTCATGTACCATTAGTGTAACACATGAAACTGAATTATTCTATAAACACAATGCCAAGTTTCTTTGCAACATTGCTTTCCAACTGTAGTGTTACTGACTATTGTATAGAATTTGTAGTAAAGGATATTTTACATTTCTGTGCTTAGAATGGATTAGCTGTTCGGTTCTCCTGATGTTTTTGTGTTTTTATGCAGCCTTTAGGTCGTGGCAAATTCATCTTTGATATTGGATGTGAGCAGCATGGTGAATACATACAACCAGTGCAGGTAAAAGAAACAGTGCAAGAGCACTCAGTAAATCACATCTGTTGTTGAGGAATATATAAAATGCCTTTCAGACAGTGATGTGAAAGTAGATCATTTGGGTCAAAAAGGGTGGAAACTCATGCATTCTTAAGAGCTAAATGAGGTTTCATTTTGCTTTTTTTTAATGTTTCCTACTGTGTAAGCTTTGAAAAGTACAAGGTGTGATTTTGCACTGCTTGCAGACATGAATCCTTTCTGCTTAAAAAGAATCAGGACATTTTCAAAACATTTGAAGCTTCAAATCACAGAGGAATATAGATATTTTTGTATACATATTTAGCCTCTATTGCATTTTCTTCTCAACACCAGAAAACAATGAGCAATATTTTTTGTGTTTCTGAACTGCTTGGTGCTTTGCCTACAAATGGTAATTTCCAGCAGGATCATGTTTGGGAAATATGTCCTATTGTTGTTCTGGTCATGTTGGGAACTTAATATCCACAGCTTCTAATAATTGTAGGAAGTGGTTGGGATCAAAGTCTGTTTTCCCTTCTTTATTCATGAATGTTTTGAAACATATCTGTTTGATATGGTGCAAAAATAGCTACAGAAGTAGGAAATATATTTTAACATAACTGATTTTTTAAAAAATTGCCACAGTTTAGCTTAGAGTTTGCTACCTCTGTTGTCTGACACATTAGTTCCTGTTACACACTCTGAAAACTCTTGTGATGCAGCAATCATTCTGAGGGATAAAATAATAATTATCAAAATCCTATCAATTGTGATAGAGATTTGCAAAGCTTGGAGACTGTTTTGCTTTTTTTCTGGCTGAAAGCAAGAGATCCTCAAATTAAGTATCAGATTCATGGGAGTATCCAGAGTAATGTGTATTTCCTTAGTTCAGCTGGGAATTCTTAGATGAGTTTTTAAAGCACGGGACAGTGCTGTCACTAAAGTAAGATTAAATTTTGCCCTTCTGCTTTAGTTGAAGTAATAACAGAACAAGGCCCATTAAAAAAAAAGAGAAGAAATTACCTAATAATACAGACAGTGATTCAATTATTGACTCCTTCATATTTGTAGGAAAAACATGATTTTTTTAAATTTTAAAAATATTTTCACATTTCAAAGCCATAAACTCTGTGCACAACCTTCCTCCTTCCTAGATCCTTTCAAATGTCTTCCCTAGGCAAAGATTGAGGTAGAAATAGCTGGTTTTTCATTCTGTTTCTGTGTGAGACAGACAGTGCAGCATCTACCAGACAGAGCATCAGGTAGCAATCATCATCAACAGCCAACTGATTTCATCAGGGTTCAAGAACTTGGTAGTTCTTGTCCAAGATTTGCAGCTGCTGAAGTTGCTCCACCTGTAAATACTTTCATTGCCATTTTGATCCCAGATAAGGAAGTTTTATCCTTATACCCATCATCTTGGTTACTGTCTGTAGGATGAGATCCTGGATTTCATGAATTCTCTTCTAGGAAAAAGAAGAGGAAGATGAGGATGAACCACCTTTACCTCTTGAACCAATTTGGAAAGTATCAGAAATTACCAAATTAACACCCTGGTCTCCTGATGATGAGGAGCTGCTAGTCCCCAAGGAAACTGAAGGTGGAGAAGCTGAAGAGGGGGAAATTCCATCAGCTCTAGGTTTGTTCTGGAAACATCTGGAAACTCCATGTTTTGACTATGGTGACCATTGTTTTAGGGGTTTAATATCAAGTGATGTGAAAAGGTTTTTGTGTTTTGTTTTGTTTTTCCTGTGATTTT